CCCCGCCAGCCACCACGTGGCCGTGCCCCTCGGCGGGGAGGGCTTACTTGCGCATGATGTCCTGGACGCCCTGCTTGACCTTGGCGAAGGTGATGGTCTCGGCACGGTTGAAGAGCATGCCCACGATGGTGTCCATGCTGCGGAACATCTCGGCCAGCACCTTGTACTTGTAGGGCAGCGTCAGCCCGGGGGGCACGTCCTGGGCGAGGGTGTGGAACCTCTGGTAGGCAGGTGCCTTGTCCCTGGAAGGGAGCTGGCGTTAGCCCCTTGCTCCTGAGGGACTGGCTGGGGCAGGGACTACTGAGACAACCCACCCTGGGGAGGCTGGGGCGTGTAGGGGGTATGTCCTCCCCCCAGGGTCTCATTGCTTTGCCATTAGGCTGCCTCCCAGCTCCATCTCGGGGGCAGTCGAGAGCCCTGCAGGTCACCCAGGCCAGCCCTAGCTTTGCCTGCGACAGCCAAGAAGATAGCAGGGGTCTCCCCCTGCTTGCAGCAAGGTAACGGATCCCTGAAGCGGGAGTCCCCTTCCAGCAGCCCCCAAGTGACCACCTCCTCACCTGGCTGCAGCCGGGGGCTCTCTGGATGGCTCCGGCTCAGATGCCTTCTCCTCCACCCGCCTTTGGCGGATCTTGGCTTCCAGTGCCCGCGCTTGCTCGAGGCGGCTCCGAAGGGCAGCACACGTCTCCGGGGAGGCGGCGACGGGCAGCTTGGCCTTTCGCGTCAGCGCTCGGAGCTTCTGCAGGCGGCATTTCAGCTGAGCGACGTCCTCCTGGCGCGGGGAGAGGGGACAGAGACCAGCGCTGAGCAAGGGAAGACTCCACCCGGATGCCGCAGTGTTTGCAATCGCTCAGGTCGTGCCCGAGCTGCAGGGGATAGGTGCGTGGAGCAGGGAAGCACTGGCAAGACCCACCCGGGACGGGATTCCCCACCTCTGCCCATTTCCCCTAGCTTACAAGGTCCCGGCAGGACCAAGAAGGGGGCGCAGCTTGGGAACAGCACTCCCGCCGGAGCGCCCCGGGAGCTAAGGGATCTCGCAGGGGCTGGCAGCACCTTGCTCTGCGCCTGCTCGAAGCTGCGGTTTCCCTCGCGGGCGGCCGAGCTGGCCGGCAAATCGCTCCCCTGCCCGGGGCCCGGCGACAGCGTCGTGTTTGCCAGGTTCTTTGCCTTCTTGTCCAGCGAGGATGGGGTCGGGGGTCCGGCGGCTGCTGCCGAGCTGGAAACCTGCAAGAGTTCAGCATTGGGCATCACTGCCCTGCTGCGAGGCGCCAACCTGTCTCCCTTCTTCTTTCCTTAGGAGAAGGGCCGCCAGCCTTACACGTCAGGCACACTGTGAGTCTTGCAGACCAAATCCTGCTGCAGGGGCAGGAGCCAGTGCTGGGTGCACGCACCATGCGCGCTCTTGGGAACCGGGGAGGCATTTTACCCCCCAGCCAAGTTGGCACAGACTACGGGGCTTTGCCCTCCTCCGTAGCAAGGGGCACGGCTGCCTTCCTGGGGTCTCTCGAGGGCACTTTAAAGACCTCGTAGCTGCCGGACGGCGGCAGTGCCCGTGTCCCCCGGCTTCACCTGGGGCAGGCTCAGGTGTTGCGGGGCGGCTGGGCAACAGGGGCATGACCGCCGCGCAGTTCACTCCTGGGCTGGAGGGTGGGGGTTGGATCAACCCTGCCCCACGCACTGGCTGGGTGATCCCCAGAGCCCGGCTCTGCCGCAGGGCCCTGTCTACGCTAGGGCCACATGCTCAGCCCCAGCAGGCAGCTGGATCCCTGCGGGGACCCAGGGGGCACGTGGGCTCAGCCCGAGGCCAGCCGCTTCCCCTTCCGCCTCAGGAAGGCGACCCCAGCCCGTTAACCCCTGCCCTGCCGCTGGGAACCAAGCCGCCAGCACCCCCAGCCCGGCGCCTCGCGGCGCGCACCCCATCCCGGGAGCCCGCATCCGGCCCGTACCGCGGCGGGAGGCTCGGGCAGCACCAGGCGCTTCCTGGCCGAGCCCCGGGCACCCTCTCCGGGCTCCGGGTCGGGGTCC